TGAATAAAACGTGCTGTGTTTGTCTTCAAATCGAAAGAGGACAATTAAAGTATCTGTAAGTTACTAAGTTACCTATCTATACAGGCCGTTGTGATCAACCGACTAGTACACGTAAACAAAATACTTAAGTACTATAACAAAAAAGGTAGGTTACTTACTTTTCTCCGGCACTAGCAAACACAGATATAAATTTTCTCACAACTTTTTTCCAAATTCCGCCTTTTTTTCGAAATTCCGGAAACAAATGAATGCGTTTGCCTTTGGCATCAAGTATTTATAGTGGTGATCAAGTTCATGTCTGAACAAGCATTAAGCATTGTCGGGCGGATAGCGCTTTGCAAGTCTGTACACGAAATTGTACGTAATATCGAATACGCAAGTTTGGACAAGTAACAGTCGCTTGCCTTATTAAAATATTATCTGCTTAGATAGGTACTTAAAACAATGTAGGTAGGCCCTTATAAAAACTATGCTTACATTTTTGCTCTTTACTATCAAAAGCAGATAAATTTTCGTGGACCCCCATTAACATCTTATGGACCCCCATTTTTTGTTCACGCCTACGTAGACCCCCAGCAAGTCTCCCGTGGACCCCTGGGGGTCCACCTGGACCACTTTGGGAATCACTGTTCTAAATGGACGAAATCATGAAGATTTTTCTTAATTATGGGTCGAATCGAACCAAACTCGGCACGTGGATAGAGGTACTCGAATGAAGTCCTCAGATGGACAGACGGACAGACAGACAAACAGAACTAAGAAGAAGTTTCACTTCAAATATGCGCACATAGTGCACACACAATTTTTTTTATAACATTTATATTAATTTCGGATACAACACAGTATTGGCCATAAGTGGATGAACTTTGTTAAAATAATGGGTTTTTCCTGTTTATGTTTAAAATTAAAATTTGAGCTATATTTACTTGAAGTCTAGTGTCAGTGCTATAAAAATAAATAGCATTGTTTTTTTAAAATGTGCTTTAATAAGGTAGCAAAAAATTAAATTGAAAAAACTATTGGACAAAAGTAGATGAACAAAATATATATTTAATAAAAAAAAATCTTATGTTAACAAAACTGAAAAATTAACTTATAATTTACTAGTACTTAGTGTAATAACCCTTATTCTTAATTACTTTCAGACATCGCTTAGGCATGGATCCCAGAAGATTTTCAATTATAGAAAAAATCGATATTTTTCCAAGACTCTTTCAAAGCTGCAAATAATTCTTGCTTATTTTTTGTAGAATTTGGTCCTAATGTGTTGATCCAAAAATTTCCCATAAATTTTCTATTGATTCAGGTCTGGGGATTGCGATGGCCATTTGAGAACAGTCACCATTTCATCTTCCAAAAACCTTTTAACCAATTGTGAGGCATCTTTCGGGTCGTTATCATGTTGGAAGTAGTGTACAACTGGCATTTTTTCCTCCAAATAAGGCACTAACAGGTTTTGCAAAATGTCTCTGTAGCCAAACCGATCCATTATGCCCTCAATTTTATGAAGAGGCCCCATCCCATACCCAGAAAAACACCCCCATACCATGATTGAGCCCCCACCATGTTTTACAGTGGATCACGTGTACTTTGGTAGCAATCGTGTGTTGGGAGGTCTTCTTACATGTTGAATTCCATCTGGTGACACCAAATTAAACTTTGATTCATCACTAAAACAAACTTTTCCATTGTGCCACAGTCCAGTTTTTGATATTCCTTGGCAAATGCTAATCGGGCCTTCAAATTTTTTTTTTGATAGCAGTGGTTTCTTGGCGGATCTTCGGGAAAACAACTTCTGGTCAACTAATTTACGTCGGATCGTCCTTGTACTCACTGGTGGATAGCCCATTTCTTCAAGTTTTGCTTTTTATCTTCGTTGACGGCAAAATGGATCTTGTGAAGAAATTCGTTTTATGGCTTTTATCATATTGGGACCAACTTTTTTAGGTCGTCCTGGTTTTCTTTTTATAGAGACATCTCCTCTCTCATTATATCTCTTTAAAATATAATGTACCGCTGATTTTCCAAGGCGTAATTGCTTAGCGATTTCCGATTGCTTCAAACCATCCTTAAAAGCATTCACTACTCGCAACTTAAGATGTGCAGACAAGTTAATTCCACGTGGCATGATATATCACAAGAGCTCAAATGTTTTTAAATCGCAATTGTTCATAAAAGCAGAACAAATGAAACTAACGATTTTTAAAAATATTTGGCTCATCTACTTTTGTCCAAGACAAAAAAGCAATATTTGCCAATTCTTATCTATAAATGATAAGACTAACAGAAGAATTTATATTTGTTTGTAATATTTTGGTGAGAATGTATTAAACTTTTAACATACAAAGGTACATAAAATAATTTTGATATTTAACACCTGAAATCTGATTTTCTTCGCAATTATTGGTATTGGTTCATCCACTTTTGGCCAATACTGTACATAAATTGATCGTCGTACCACTTATGGTTATACTTACCACAAACTAATTTAATAGTTTGTCTGTTTGTTGTTATACCTAATGGCTAAGGATATGCGCTTACATGCAATTTCGAATCGACCGATTATTTAGTTGCAGAAGTAAAAACAATATACTCTTATGAAGCATATAGCTATACATAAACTAAATTGTATATATTATACATTCTCTATTTTGTGCTGATATGCGTTGCTTATATTAAATATTAAATATTGAGTTTCAGTTTTCAAATTCTGGAGGATGCGCCAGGTAAATTTATTTAGTGTTTCCTTTGAATTGATTTGGCACCATATTACATTAGTAATACAAATGTTCCGTATTTGATTTAGATTTTGTATGTGTAGTAATGATAATAATTTATAGAAGATGGTTCGCATTTCTTTGAATCAACTAAATTTTAAAATTGCGAAAAGACGCGTGATTATATAATGTTTTAGAAGCCCTTTTCATCTATTTTCATTTTGGGAATTACTTTTCATTTACAAAAGCACTTGGGGTGGCTCATTAGCATATTTGGAAAATGCATTTTTTTACGAATAATTTGATACCACACACACTTGGTATTTCGAGTCAAATTGTCGTTATGAACCGCATGTTATAATTTCACATAAACCATATGCGAAAACGTCAAAAGTTGACATACGATATGTCGTTAATAAAATAAAAAAATATCGAGGGTGCCGTTTAAAAATTAAAAGTTGTAGTCATTTCCGGTGAAACCGGAAGTGACCGAAGATAATTAAATATGTCCAATCAATCCTAATTTATGTCATATACTAACATACCAAATCTCGTGTTGTATGGAAAAGTAAAAAGTTATAGCCACTTTTGAGATGCATCCGGTATAGAAAAAAAGTTATTTTTTCCGTATAATAAAATAAAATGTTCACAAGCGAAATCTTGTTCAACATTGCGCTATAAGGCAATCTTAAAAAATAAAATTTTGGCGAATGCGCTAGGCAAATAGTGCTTCCTCTCTTGTTCCTCTCTAATTTCTATCAGTCCTAATATCTTATTAACTGATATATTGATATCAAATTTTCAATATTTGTATAACCGGTCATTTACATTGATTTAAATCAACTAAATTTTAAAATTACGAAAAAAGCGTGATTATATAATTTTTTAAGTCCTTTTCGTCTATTTTCATTTTAAGAATTACTTTACTTTTACAAAAGCATTTGAATTTTAATATTATTTTTTTTTATTTTTAACATTTTGAGTTAGGTACTTTTTACCTACTATGGTAGGATTTAGAGAGAATCATTATTTCAAAATATACTTTTTCTAAGCCTCTAGACATTTTTAACTTTTTAAGAAGTAATTAATAAAATTTACTATACAGGGTGTTCCAGAAATAAATGCAAGTATTTTAAGGGGTGGTAGATCTCGGTAAAAGAAACATTTTTTCTCTTTATTGCTTTTAGTCCAAAATAACGGAGTTATTTTACTTTGAAAATTAAAAAAAAATTATTTTTTGCTTAAATTTTGAGAACCACTGGATCTTTTCTGGATTTTCTTTCTTGTAAATTTAATCTACTACCTATGTTTCCATATTATCCAGAAATTATGTTTTTTAACTATAGGTACTACCAGTTAAAATACTTGCAATTATTTCTGGGGCACCATGTATAGAAAAAAGTGACTCTTTCCATATAATAAAATCTGTGATAAAATATTCATGAAATCTTGTTAAATTTTGGCGAATGCGCTAGGCAAATAGTGCTTCCTCCATTTAATTTCTATCAGTGTCCATATAATATTTGCAATTGTAATTATATATTAATTAAACCAAACCAAACCTAGGAGATTTAAACTTCTTTTAAATTATTAATTTATATAAATTGAAAAAAGAACGTGATTAGAGCATAGCTTTGAATTTTTATAGGTCTCATTTCAAGAATTATTATTTAATCTATATTTATTGTTTTTTGAAAACCTACTATAAATGTTATTAAATTGTGATCTACAATGTTAATAAATAAATGTATAATTCTGTAAAATGCGCTAGGTAAAACTGATATAGTGTATACTCTTAGGCAATTTGTTTGATAAGTAATAGGTAAATGATAAGTAATATGTTGATAAGTAATATCTTATTTTATTATACATTTGATTGCAATAAATAATTTATTTTCTTTTCTGCCAGAATTATTAAATTGATTAATAAATACGTAAGCGGTGTACTAATAAGGGTAATTTCTATTTAAAACACTAAACCACTTAATATTAAGTTAGTATCACTTTATTGTAAAACCAGCTAATTACTTCAAGATACCATATTTGACCGTTTATGAAACAAAGAGAATATAGCCATCTGCGTACGCACTCACACTAGATTTTTTGTGCACTTCCGTTTCAATAAGCGTTAGCGTGCCTGGCAATAAAGGTTATTTTGTGTTATATTTTACGTTTATCCAACGTATATCGAATGCGCCCTGTTGCTGTTGGACGTCGGTCTGTTTCGACTATCACCGGCAAGGCCGCGTTTCATTGGCGAGCGATACGTTGAAAGTAGGTTGTGACGTCAGCGGGCAAAGTTTATAAGTATATGTTGCAGCGCGCGTTCCTTGTATTTTAGTTGCGCCTGTTGCGAGAGTTTGTAGTTGTGTGTCAATAGAAAGAACGCGTACGGTTCAAATTTAGTGAGAATTAACTTTAACCATTTTTTTCAACAACACAATGGCTAGTGAAGCTCAAAGGCTAATTGGAATTTCTTTAACAAAAATCGCCCAGTCACGATCTCATCGCGGTGGTGTAAGTTTACACAAAAACTTGTTAGTGGCAACCGTTTTACAAAAAGCTCGGTATATTTTTATGGAAGAGGCTTACAATATGGTACATTACCATGCCCCATCTCCAACAATCGTCCAACAACTGTCCATTCAACAACGACCTGTGCAAGTAGAAGAAAATTTAGTGGGTTTAACAGCGGAAGAAGCAGGTCTGGATTCGGCTAGGCCTCTAAACGATTTCCCAACGTCTTCAACAAACGACGATGCCCAGGAACCCGATTGCTTCGAAACGTCTTGTGTTAAGTGTACTGAAAATCAGCAAGATAAAGAAAACCACCCTCCATTTAACAGTGAGCTGACTTACCTGGACTTGGACAAGACATCGAACATACTTAGGGAAAGAAGTAATTCGTCTTCCAGCACTTCTTCATTGAAGAGGCGAAGAGCTGTTGCAGAATGGGAAACCGAAGAAGCGGTGCAATCTATTTTGCCGAAAAAAATTCGACAGGATGACGAAGTGAGTGAAGTGAGTGACTCGGATAGCAGCAGTAGTAACGACGACTCGGTATTTTTGGACGATGCGGCCCTACTTTCTGATATCGTGAGCAAGGAAGTTGACGAGGCTGAAAGGTCTCAAGAAACGTCTTCTTCGAATAATTGTGGCAGCGGTTCAGCGATGGAAATAGATCGCATTACGTCACTAGTGTCTATCTTCAGTTTTAGTATGGGAGGTGATGGAGCGGCAAAGTTAAACCGATCGATGTCTACACCTGACTTGTGTTCGGCCCAAGCGAAAGACTCTGCGGACAGTTTGCAACAGCGGCCCTTTCTGGCCATGACCGTGTAATTACGCCGTACTTAGCTAAAGGTTTTGGATGTATGTTGCTTGGGCAATATCAGGGCGCCGAACAACGAACATAACGACAGTTCCGCGGCTGACTTCATGTGATACTGTGATTAGTGGTGAAGCTGCGGGGCCCAACATAGACGGCTATAAGAAAAGCCGTCCAGATCATGTGATAGTGAGAAATGTTAACTAGGTCGTTGTGTAATTTTGTACGTAAATTAGCATCTATAAACGGCCGTGCTTCTGGGGTTGGTGAGAAAGAAGGGAACAGCTCAGTCAGGCAGAATTTCCTAATATACATTCCACGTCCGTCCCCAGGCAGGTAGACGCCGACCTCGCCGGTTGAATGAAATGCATTGTTCGCTCCGAGAGGGGTGAGCCTGCTTAGGCCGATGCGTTCACGGTCGCAGACTAAAGACGTTTGGAAATTAACGGTGATTGTTCCGTTTTAGGAATATGTGACTTTATTCTTATACATAAAGAATTGCATATTATATATTTAAAATAAAAATTTTCAGTATACTTCTTGTGTTTTTTTTGTTTATAAAATAGATATAGTAGGTATTAAGTAAAGTAATTATTTCTTACCATTAATACAGGGGAGTCAAATAAGTTCAAATTTTTTCAGGGCTGGTAGATTATATTTTCTCATTACCGTTGTTCAAATAATTCCAAAATAATCGAGTTATTTTAATTAATTGAAAATTAAACAAATTTTGAGAACCACTGGACCTTTTCTAGGTTTTCTTTTTTGTAAATTTAATCTACTACCTATGTTGCCATATTATCGAGATATTATGAAACTAAAAATAAAAATTTTTCAAAAAATTCTAAATTTTCAATACTTTTTTTTCTCGAAAAAAATAGTCGTGTTTCTAGGGTAGAATTATCCTACCCCTAAAATATTTGCACTGATTTAAGACCCACCCTGTATATTCTCGATTCTATCAAAAGAATCCAATAAAATCATTACAAACTTTATTTTTGTTTAAATCAAAATTATTCACAAATTCTAAACCAGACCCGAGACTAGACCATTTTAAAAGTAATTTCTATGCATTGAATAGGTATGTTTTTTAAAAAAATATACACAGTCTTAAAAAATAAGTGCAAATACTTTATGGGTGGTATATTTTACCCCAGAAACACATTTTTGAGGCGAAAACACGTCTTTTCGCGATTTTTTTTAAACGTTTTTTTTCGAATTTTCTTGGAATTTTTCGTTAAAAAACATAATATCTTGATAATATGACAACATAAGTAGTAGGTTAAATTTATAAAAGAAACAAAACATCCAGTGGTTCTCAAAATTTAAACAAAAAATATTTTTTTAATTTTCATAGTAAAATTACTCGGTTATTTTGTACTAACATTTAAAAAGGGTAAAGTTAAAAGGGTAGGTTGTACCAGTGGCGGATACAGAGGGGGGGCCATGGGGCCCGGGCCCCCCCTAAAATCTATAAATTGGGTTAAATATTAGGCTTTTGGTTTAAAAATGGCGCTCTAAAAAGCATATTCTACATTACCTACCGCTTATTTTGGCTCCCCCTAAAATGCATTCCGGGCCCCCCCCCCTAATATAAATTTCTGTATCCGCCCCTGGGTTGTACTACATTTAAAAAGAGTAAATAGAAAATATGTTTCTTTTATCGAGATCTACCACCTGAAAAAAAATTGCACTTATTATTAACCATGTATAATTTACATAATTAAGAAATAACAACGTAAGTTGTTCTTTGCTATTGTCTACTCTGATATTTTATTATTTTTAATAATTTTTGATCAAAATGTAACATAACGGTTCTTTGTAAATAGTTTACTCATCTATGGACTATTTTTAATTTTTACACTAATAATAGAATATATGAAATTGAAGAAATAAATTAATAACACCAATGAATCTCAGTTCGTATTTGTATTTCCTTGAAACCTCGATCAAAGATTAAATATTCCTATTATCTCAATATTAAAATGGAAATTATTAGACATATTTCACAAAATTACTTACAAGATAATTATTATATGAAGCCTAAAATACATATCTATTACTATACACAATTATATTACATAAATATAAGATATACAGCGTAGGTACATCCTACAAACTCTAGTCGTAACAGTCATAGGTATTTTTTAGTGATTAAACTATTCAGGATTTATCGGGAATTTAAAAACATAAACAAATATTCTCTAGAACAGCCTTGAACGTACTTACTACGCATGTAATGCGTCAAACGAATGTAGTACGATGTAGCACGTGTTTTCCAACTTATTTCATTGAATCAGTACTCTTTTTAAGAAATAAGTATATTAATAACTCTATTTTTAACCACAATCTTTTATAATATTAAGTAAAAATCTAATGAATCGTTGATAACGAATAAATAAATTCGATAAATATTCGAACTACTCTTTCAAAATGTTGGGAATGGGAAAATACTTATGATTGATTTTAAATTAATAACTAAAGAGAATACCGGGTACTTTTCAAAAGTTGCTCACCTTTATAACTCTTTTAATTTTTCAGATAAAAAAAACGAGATTTGGCATGTTAGTAGTAGGATATAAACATAGATAAAAGAAAATAATCTTCTATTAAGGTAGATATGAAACTTAATAGTAAAATTTTGGTCAAAGCGCCCCTCCGTGTTCTTAGTAGAGACTACGTTTAACCCAGCGCCTTCGCCTTTTCTGCTGTAAATATTTTTTATGTTTATATTTGATTTCAAAGGATTTAGTTTTAAAGTTACACTGATATATTAGTATATCAGAGTAAACTTTAATAAAACATAAGAATATATATATTTTACAGTTCATTAAATATAAATTTTGACTACAAGGTAGAAAGTAAATCACAATATTTGATAAAACTTATAAGTATACCATTTTTACAGTTAATAAATGATAAAACTATTTCTGACTATGATATTTAAAATTTAGATAGATAGAATATTAAAAAACATACCGGGTATTTGCAGACGCAGGCCCAAATTCAATAAAAATCAAAATTTTTCCTGCGAAAATCGGGCTTTTTTCACAGAAAAGGTATTTTTTGATTTATCAACAATCATTGTCAAGTTGACAATATACAGGGTGTTTTCTAATTAGTCTAAAAATTTGTGGTGTGATTCATCATGTGTTCTTAAAACAATTTTTATATAACCATTGGGTCTAAAGTACTTCCTTTCTGATCTACAGTGTGCTAAAAATTTAAAAAAAATCGATATTTTGCTTAACATAAATGGTACACTACAGCTTTTTTAAAGAAAATATATTTTTTTCTTGACTGGCCATCCTTTTTCAACAAAATTGATCTTTTGAGTTTTTCTTGTTCATCAAACGGTTGCCGAGAAAAAAATAAATATACTTATTAAGAGCCCGCCTTAAGCCGTTTTCTAACAATTTTTAATTTTTTAGATTAATTAGGAAACACCCTGTATATGCATATCACAGGCAACCAAATAAACTAGTAACCTCTAAAAATTATTTTTCCTACCACTAGCGACATACCGTATTTTTAGTGAGTACTAAATTATTTTATCAAAATTTCACCATATAAGTTTTCAGGCAATGGATATAAACATAGATAAAAGAAAATAATCTTCTATTAAGATATAAATGAGGATTGATTGACGTGATCAATTACTTCCGGTCACTTCTTGTTTCACCGGAAATGACTACAATTTGTGATTTTTATGATACCTTCAGTATTTGTTACTTTATTTGATAAAAAATTATACAATTCTGAATAGAATGACATCACATGTGAATTTTACGTTTTCTCTTAAAAAAAATAATTTTAAATTTCAATCTAGAGTTTTACGATAAACATAACGACAATTTGACTCTAAATAACAAGTATATGGTCCCAAATTATTCGTAAAAAAATGTATTTTCCAAATATGCCAATGAGCCACACTCGTTCAATTTGAAAAAAACTGAGTTAGATTAAAAATACGATTTGCTTATTTTTTAACCGACCAGAAAAAGACACGAAAAATATTAGACGATCAAATATCTTTTTGCAAGGGTCCTTGATTAAAATTAGTGGTTTAACACCATTGGCGTAACTACAGGGGTGCCCGGGGGCGCCGGCCCCCCACCGCCCAGGTACTGCTGGGCACCCCCCAGAGATATCCTGAAGTATGACTCTTGGCTACGTATTAATTTTTATTTGCTTGTGATGCAGTAAAAATGACGTTTTCTAGTTTTGTTTAGTTAATATTATTTTGTTGTGTTCAAAAAATATGTTAATTTTTATTTTTTAGAAAATTTGTATGTATTTAAAGTAATCTACGGGAACAGGGTTTGATAAACAAGTCTATGAAATTTATTGAGAGAGAAATGCATGTAAACGTTTTATTGAAAAAAAATGTGTTTTTTAAAATTATTTTTCATTTTTAAAAAAACAAAAGCCCTAGGCCACCCCGGGTTCAACCCCAGGTCCCCCCCCCCCAGGCCCGCTCCAGGATAAATTGCTGGTTACGCTAATGTTTAACACGGCCATGGCACATGGCACTCTAGATTGAAATTTAAAATACAATTTTGTTTGACTGAAAATGTCGAAAGTTGCCACATGATAAGTCATTCTATTTAGAATCTAATTTTCTGCACTCGTAAAATAAATTACCTAAACCGTATTCAAATTCAAAATGCACCCGTATAAACAAATGCACAGTGCGTGATCAGCACGTGTCTGGCGAGAGCCAGTGGCGAAATCTACCCTGATTGGCCGGCCAGCCATAGAGCCGTTGAGGTAGGCGGTTGAGATTTTTTACAGGGTCGGCTTGCATAGCGCGTTAAGGAATACTCTTTGATAAAATAAAAATTTGATAAAATAATTTTTTTTTCAAAAAAATATGTCGTTAGACTTTAAAATGGATAATACAGCAGGCTACGAAAGTAAGTTAGAACTAAGTGCTTTTTTAGTAAACAAAAATGTATTAAATTATGTAAAACGTTTACATCATTACATTTTCTTGCAAATAGTATTATAGAAACAGATACCTATTTATACCGATATTCAGATATTGCTGTCAATAATGGCAATAAAAAAAATCAGTAGTACCAAATAAAAAGATAATTATTTTAAAGGACAAATTAAGCCCTTTTAAAAAACACCAAATTTGTTAAAATCGGTTGTGCCAAAGAATAATGTAATATTTTAATATCCTCGCCCCCTTCCCATCACTTTATTTCACAAATTTTATGTAGTTTGATAACAATTAAAGGTAATTATTGGGAAAACTGGAAATCGTCCGATTTTCACCAAAATTAGTATACACCCTATTTTGAAGTCGTAGATTACGAATCTGAACTTTTTGATTGGCGGTCTCTTACCGTTTTTCAGAAAAACGGAAAATAGTCTCAACATAGAATTTTTCTTAATTTATCATATTTTTAAGGTTTTCTAGTACATATTTTGTTAGGTATTCCATAAACAATGAGGTTTTTGCTATTTTCTGTTACTTTTTTAACCAATTCTATGCATCATAGATATATTATATTCTCCGCATAGAAGT